CCAGGAACGGCATGCAAATAAAATAAATATAAAAATTCTGGGCCCGAGTGGAGATAGAGCCCTAGTCGTTGGCGTGGTAAGCGGGGTTTTTGCCACATAGCCACACGTCTGCTTATGAATACAGTGAAAATAACTTCCGCTGCTTGGAAAGGCACTGAAAGTAACTTTCATGCATTATAAACACGCACGTCCTGTTACATTCTTCACAATACAAAAGAAATATTGCAGTAATAATTCAGTGTATAAGCGTTACACTGTCATTGGGCGTCAGAACACGTAATTAATATAATTACTTCGTGGTTTAAACCTGATAACTCACTACAAAGGCACACAAGTTACTGCACCTATTCTCTCCCTTAAGGCCATGTAGTGGGTGCATAGCAAGCTCGAAAATATTTCATGCACAATGTCTTTGAAGTGCGCACTAGAGACAGCATATCAATATCGCGTTCAACACTTAAAAGCGAAGCTTAAGTGCCTCCGAATTTTTCGCATTTTCCTTATTTTTCGGTCATGCACAAGATGACGTTTTTTCGCTCACAACTAACGACACCGACACCAACGACAACGCCAATACTGACATTAACGCCGATTTCTGTGAAACGAGCTCTTTAACGCTATCGTGTTAAAAAGTTCTCTCAGGAAGCGGCCCAAGCATAAATACAAACAAAAAACACTGAACCCTAAGGATGGCTCCATCTTCCGGACACTTTCAGCTCGCCAAAAGCCAAGTGTCTCTTTTCCTTCAAGCCTATACTTTGCCACCATCTACAGGAATCTTAAATAGCTTTGCTATTTCTTATTTGCTCACTAGAATGCGAGGACATATAATAACACGGATACATTTGGTTAGAGGGTCAAGTTGAAAATTAAAGCATGTTCTTCCCACTGTTCTTTTCCACTTAAAATTACCTAAAGCGCTGGGTATTATAAAAGCAACTAAAAACAAACGGTTAAAAATAAAAATAATCAATTCGTTTGGTTATGTGATGCCTGACTTAAACAGCTTTCGTTTAGTCGAATTCAGTTCAGCTAGAGAAATCCAGTCAAATTATTGACCGAAAGCTTACGCTCAGTACCGACCGAAAAGCAAAATCAATAAACGATGGAATTCAACCACATGAACGCTTTCAGACTGAAGCGAGGTTACACTGGCATAAAGGAAAAAAAATGTACACAGCCTAGTACATTCTTTACGTTGCATGAAGAAGACCACCAATGATAAAGAGAGCGCTGAACTATCGATTGCTCTGAACTAAAAATAGCAGGTTTTTTTTTCTCTTTGAAGCCAACTTCTAAGCCCATGTACTAAAAAGAGCACACGCTACCACTACAACGTAACTTTCTCTTTCGCAGTTCACAACAATGACGCAAAGTTCATGTATATTGTACGGGCGAGTAATTTCGCTATCGTGTTTATGTGAGTGAAATATTAAGACGCTGCGCAAAAGCTTGAAGAATTTTACTGAATATATCGTATGGGCGAACAGGATGATCGATTGGCACTTTCCGTGACTGAGTATAATAGACAATTCCGTTTTACTGCTTTCGTCAGATGCACGTGTCCAGCGTCTGTTGGAATAAGCAGCAATCATTGAAATCTGCAAGCACTACTCTTTAAATTTAGATGGACATTTGAAAAGCGCGATGTAGCTCTCAGATTACATATTATTGTTGGTTTGAAATGTAGCTGAAAGTACTCTGGTTACAGAGTTGAGTAGTTTTCTCAAGGCAAGGTCCCCCCTTTTTTTGTGACACGAGATCGGTTTACGTTTCGTCCAACCTTTATACCTGGCTGCCGATCTTGTTCACAATACCACATTCATGAAATGAGGCGAATAAATACGCCTAGTGCAGGTGAGACAAATGATAGAGGCGTCACGGTGAAGTCCAAAACAAACAATAAGATAGCCTAGAGCTACGTATCGAACTAAAATTTGGCGTGATATGCGCAAAAGGGTCGAAATGAGAAGCCATGGCACTCGTTCAAACTACGCGCGCCCGAAACCGAAATATCAAGTGTAAATTACTCAGAAAAAGAAATATGCACCTTTCCTGGAGATAGAGCAGTAAAATGTGAAGGCTAATCTCGAAGACAGCAAAGTAAAAAGGAAATCTCAACAGTACAGTTTAAACCATAGTACTATTGAACCAAGGAAAGATGTCATAAGTGAAATTAAAATAAATCAACAGTGTTTGACCTAGAAATAAAAACGCAGCTATCACAAATCAGCCATAGCTGTCAATGGTTAACAAAAACAGGCCACGTGGTGCACTAACGTAATTAAAAATATGCGTTCGAACTTGATGCTAAGCGCTGTCGACTCGCCCTTCAGACTGCACATAACCACGATAACGGCCTACATTTTCCTGGTTTACTTGTTATGTATGGGCCCGGTGAATCTACGCGAAAGTCTCTTTGACGTTGCCCCTTCAGGGAAGCAAGAGGACGTCGATAGACGAGGGAATTTCGGAGTGTCACAGCAGGAGAGGCAAGCGCAGGACAGTCCGACTGCGGCGAGGCGAGCCCGGCCGCTTCGGGAATACACACTTTGCGGCCAGAGAAAACTGCGCGCGACAGGGAATGGGGCCGGCTGGCGTTACTTTTCCTGTTCGGCTCGCCTAAATTTAGCGGCCTGAGATCCGGACGGCTTCGAGGCGCTGCTCGGACCGCTGCTTCTAGTGCGCGGTTGTAAACGACGCCGCCACCGACGTCTGTTCAGGGAGACGCAGGCCGGCACGCGCCGCCTGGGCGCCGTGATAAATGTGCCAGCGCTGCGTAAGGGCTGTCCACGGAGATCGCAGATGTTTTCACTGCCCGGGCTTCAGTGTGAATGCAGGGAAGAAGCCCACTGTCAACTTCACGACATGCTGTTTGCTGGAACAGGCGGTGAATTCCACACAAAGATGGCGTAATCGATTTCTTGCCTCCAGGCAAAGAAGTTATGGAGCGGGATCTTATTAAACTCTTCTGCTACACAACATCGTGCTATTACGACCAACAGGGCGCTGTTAAACGTGTGTGCGGGGGGGGGGGGGGAATAGGTTGTAAAAGGGTGATAGAGCAGCAATGTTAACTAGGCTGTGTGCGATTGATACTTTGCCCTAAATAAGGGTGGAGTATGAAAGATCAGACGTTCGCAGCATGAATAGATACACACGCAATAGACTTCTAATTGATCACATAATTGAATGTGTCCATATGTTATTTCGCGTCTCAGCAATCGCAACAGCACGCTTGTGGTTTTTGCACATGGCATCCACACGAGCCTAGCACTACGATCATCTCTTCTATAGAAAACTAAGCAGATTCGCACCAGTGATGCCATGCCTAAAGGAAGGGTGGAGCTGAGCCCTCTGCCTTGTTACGCTTCCATTCTCTTTGTTCTTTTTATAATTTTGTTTGCCTACGTTTATTTCCATTCATTAGCTATTTCTTTCTCTCTTTATATTTCTTCCCTTTCTTTCACCATCCCTCTGTTTCTCGCTTCTTTTTTCTTATCAACGTTTGCTTCCTTTCTGTGTATTTCTCTCTCTCTCTCTCTCTCTCTCTTTTTCTTTTCGTTTCGTTTTTGGTCTTGTATCATATTTAAATCTATATCTTGTGTCTATTTCTCTCTCAGTCTATTTCTTTTGACGTATTTTTTTCCTCTCTTTGGTTTTTTTTCTATCTTACTCTTTTTCTCACGTTTTATTCGCTCTATCCCGCCCTTCAGTGATTCAATCCAACACCGAACAAACTGGCACCCATGTTGCGGGAGCAAATCAGAAAATGAAGCACATTGGAGTTGCTATACTAGTTGCTGTGAATTAACTTCAGACATAATTAGTGAAAAAGGCGACGACAGGGAAGGAAGGTAAAGACGCGTCCTGTCTGTTGTCTTCACTTTGCCTTTTGTAACTGCTTTGAATAATTAGTTGTATCAGAAGAAGTAGAGTACGAAGAGGAAGAAGAAGGTGTCTGCTGGTTCATGATGGTTATGATAGTGTTCGGCTGACTCTTCATGGCATAACAAAAAGCATAACAGCTCCGCTATTAAAAGTTTTATTCTGGGCCTTAAACTATCAACAATTCTTATCTGAAACGACCAAGAATTTATAAACGCCCATTCTCATAGGCGGCTCATGAACGTTTCTTCACGTTGAGTGCGTGAAAAACCGGGTAAATGCTCATATACGAGTGGATGATGTGTAAGTGCCGTTAAGTTAATTAGGGTATATTCTCTTTCGTCAATGCATTCACATGGGTACTAGAAGTTTGCAGACGAATGCTTCTTTCTGGATTGTTCGATAGAGCATAACTTTGGCACACGTTTTGGCATACGAAGACAAAGAAAGCGGGCCCAGCAGGATCGCACTGAGTGGGTGTTATCCATTTTAAGGCGTCATCATCAGTACCACTCCCATAGTCTGTGCTGGTGGTAATTAATATACGTACCTCATTTTATGCTTAATAGCTGGATGTTTCATGACAAAACTAACAAAAATGTGACCTGAAACGAACTCACTAATCCCAGTTTTGCAGCTAAGCATGTACAAATACCTAATGAAGCGTTTACTGACACCATAGATACTTACGAGGGCAAGCTTAGTGGACTTTCGCCTCTCCTCTGTTTTCCTTAAGAGGCAAAGTTTTCGTATTGAATTCCTAACGTACCAGTGTCACACTCGTAACGTGGTAAAATCACATGACTTACCTGTTATTGTGAATGTAGGGTGAACTTGTCGGCCAGTTGGTTGAACATATCGATTTGCTGGCGTAATCTGACGGGTGGAGCATTCATTCTGGCGTCTGTAGAATTAGTGTACCATGCGGTACTGGCAACGTTGAAAGCTTTCATCCGTATGCTATACCCATGTGGAACAATGAAGTGCATACGCTTATTTGCACGTTTCTTTATATGACCCAAAATGATGTTTTGATGCCAAGAAGAGAGAACACGTTGGGAAAAAAAGAACGAAGGCAGTAGTTTCGGAAAACAATTTGAGAGCCACAGTAATTTCCGTTTCATTGTGTTTATTTGGTTGGACGATAATACAAGGCGTTGAGGTAATATGAAGAGTTATTTCAGAAAAGTGCAGATGCAATTTCCAATATAACGAGTCAAATCATTGTCCACAGCGTATCTCTGTAGCAGTAATGTTAAGCATCGTAAATATTTACACTTCACTGGTGATACTTTGTGCTATAACGCAGTGAATTAGTGCGCAAAAGTTGGGAAGCCGTCGCCTGCAAGCAAGCTCGAAGGCCGGAGGAAGATATTGTTATACAAGTGTTCACTACGTGATGCTTTGCTGCTAATTTGCCGCGCACATCGACGCAGCACTTATTTTTCCACCGTCCCTACTCACAAGTAGAGACTTGATCACTCAAGGTGCACTGTTTTTTTTTTCTGAAGAGCACCTTTCACACTTTTTGCAGTGTGCACAACCTTAATCCGGCCTTTTGGTTGCTTAGAGGTTAACAGTGCTAGCATCACAACGTTCACAAAAATATGTATCTATTATACTGGTTGCTCTATTTTAATTGGAAGCCTTTTGCGTGATAAGAGGCAATAGTTTCTATTACAAGAGTTTATTCTCTCAATTTTGTACAGCAGAGTCGTAGTCTCAAAAAGAATACGCTTCGTGTCCAAGAAGATATTCAGAAAATCTGTATATGATATTTTGTTTCCTGGGAAGGGGGAGCGGGGTTCACGGTACAAGTACGCACAATACAAGGAGGCCCGGCCGTGATGACGAATCAGATAAAACAGCTATTGCTCAAAGCTACCATACATACGCAGTAATAGAGCACACGAAACCATCATCAAGATGACTAGAAATGCTAACTGAAGCAGCTTATTCACCAGTCGACTCATCAGTATTTTTAAAAAATTTAAAGTTCTTTGAACTTTAGGATGAAATGCGTCTCGCCTAAACAAATTCATCTAGAGAAATTAGGTTTCTTGCGCTGAAATATGGGAGACAAAAAATGAAAATTTCGTCATTACTGAACCCATTGCACTGTAGAAAAATACTGTTACATCTAATATGGGGAGAAAAGCGGGCGAATAATAACGCGTCGCTGTGACAGGTTTACAGATGCACAGAGAATGAGATGCAAACATACTTTCTCTGGCACTGTATTGATTGTTTTAGCTTGGCAGCATGCAGATAGATATACACGTGTCAAAGCTGCGACGTGTATTTTGCTTTTTTATGCTTTTGAGGTCCGTTTCAGCAAAACTGTACATACCAGAATATATGTATAAACTAGACTGTAGGGAAAAAATTAAAAAAAAAAACTTCCGCAATCACTTGGAGAGAAAATTTTAAGTTGAATAAGAGTGTTGTATTTGCGACCAAAGTAAGGGCCAATCGCCTTTCTGATGCAGTAGCTCTACAAAATCTTAGAACCAGCCTGCTATCAGTTGAATTAGTGAGAGAAAGTTAAAAATATTCTATGCGCAACTCGAATAAATTTAGTTAATAAACTTGTCTTGCCTATTAGTTCACAGCTTCTCTTTGCTCATCAATCATAATATAATTATTATAATTGTTAACTAATTAATTTCATGCACATCGTTTGCACGACAAGAGAGGTTAAATATGCGCGAAGAGGAATCGTGGTGCACAGGTGACGTGAACAAAGCGCAGTTGTTATCGCTGCCACGCATATACCGAAGAAAAGTGTCGTGCTTTCTTGCCGACGTCCCTGTGCTTAGTAGAACTCCACAGCAAAATAGATGTCACTGTCAGCTCGCCCTTATCAAACAGTTCTTAATGCGCTGTATGAAATGTTCCGAAGAATGATCGAAAAAAAAAATTCCTCTCTTTGCGTCTACTCCGGTGACTCTATCGTCCTCGCGCGTCTCCTTATCTTCCCGCTCTACTTTTTTGTTGACGCGTTCGCACCGGTACTGCATTCGTGTCATAACAGCGGAAAAGCTGAAGGGGTCGGTGCTTTCTGGATCGTCGCCAAGTGAATGTAATTCTTACTTCGTCTTGAAGCCGTAATATCTCACGGACGTAGGAAGTCATGGAGCTGACGTCGCTTTTGACGAGGTGAGGCAGCGAAGAAATCCGAACGAGATCCCGAGTCAATAAACAACTTCAAAAGAGTTGACTGCTAAGCGAGTTGCTGCTTTGACATCGAAACCATCGTGAGAGCGCAGCTAAACATGACGCACTAGAAGAAACAGACCAGGACAGTCGCAAACTACCAACTGGCTTTATTCAAGCGGCTTTAAAAATCAACATCCTGTGCAGGGGCACCGTAAAAACAACAACAAAAAATCAAACCAGGCGAGAAAGAAATTGAAATTCAGCAATGTACAGTGCCATGGAGGTTTCGCTCACGCAATCTTCGCCTGTTTTTTGATAGAGACACTAAGGTCAAATGACAATTTATGTGAGAGTGAAAGCATGATGTATGACGACGTATAAAGCAGCAATATTATCAACAGCAGTGCGCTACTTACTGAAAAATTACGGTAAATGCACGAGAACACCTGCGCCGCCGCAGGACATTCGCAAAATGAGCCCAATGATGTCAGCGTCAAAGCCCACAATTAATCACTAGTGATCAAACTAGCTGCACTAGATAAAGAACCTTCCGTGAATCAAGGGACGTAATTAAGTGCTGCTTATTCGTTTGTGTTTGATGCGTGGAAAAAAGAACAGCTAAAGAACCATAGAAAACATTTTGTGAAGTGTGCCAACAACGCCGTGTACGAGATTGCTCTGTCCTGCGGCAATGTCTACATCGGCCAAACCTGCACGGGGCTGGCTGAATAACCGACTCAGAGAGCACAAAAGACATCTTAATAATGGGCAAAGTCACCTTGTTGACCACTGCTTGGCTTGCCTGCATTGTGAACCGCGATTCCACTGAGCAAAAATCCTCAGCAGAAGTAGAGATAAAATGGCTGGCAACACGCTATAAGCTTTTTTTTATTAAAAAAAACTAGACATGTGACAAGTGCGTGAGCGAAACACCCATTGCGCTGTACAACGCTGAATTTCAATTTTTTCCTCCTCTGGTTTGAATTTTTTTGGTTGTTGTGACGGTGCATCTGCGCATGGCGTCGGTATAAAAATGTGTGGATCTTGCTTCAACAAAGCCCGCTGGTAGTGTGTGCCTGTCCCCGTCTCTTTTCTTGTGTGTCGTCTTTAGCTGTCGTAGCAATAACTGCTCCCGTGTCACGAATTCTCTGCTTCCAAAAAAGAAAAAAAAGGAAGTCGCACGTAATTTAGAGGGAAATGCCTGCTCCTTAATACCGCAGCTGCTAAACTATGGACACTACAGAGCTGATAAAAAGTGCATCCAGACGTTCTTGCACACGAGCCGGCTGAACTTAAGTGAGGCGAGTTACAGTTCGATCATTTTTGTTGGTATAAAGTATCATTCGCAATCACTTCAGCGTCTTCACTGGCCGTATACACTACCTCAAATGGAGCGCCAAATTTCAAACACTACTATTGTCCATTCCATACTTTAGCGCTCAGCGTCGTCGAAGTTATGCATGTTTCGTAGTCACACGTGCTCGTGCAAACGCTGCGCGAACCTGCCGTCAGGGGCGGACGACAAGGAAAATTACATGCCAAGAAAAATAATTAAACGCCAGAATAGCATAAACCAACCTATTACCAGTAGGATAACCCAGTTTGTTTTTTTTTCATTTTAAGGTGTAACTATTTTTTTCTCGAATATTATTCAGCCTAAAAGAAAAATCTTATGTAAGGCTCGTGAAAAACAGTGAACTATATCATCGTCCGAAAACGGCTACAGCAAGAAGTCCTATCAACGCACCTTATCCCACTATGTATGAAATGGAGCCTGGTAGAATCGGAAATACGAGTCACCAGTCTGTTCTTCATTGTGACCTTCGTAAACTGCCTAACGAGTCATCCATAAGAGCAACAACAAAATGATAGCCAAAAGTCCAACAGTCTTTCTAAGCACAGATAAGTCCTGCAAAATATTCAGTACAACCATATTCCTTGTGCGGATACACATTCAGAAATACGTATACAATCTGGACATCTCCCTCCAGCACTGTACACATCTTGCAGCAATATTGGTACAGTCATTCGCAGACTTTCTCTTAAAAGCACACATCACCGCAGCTTCACCGCTGAGTAAACTTGTGGCTCATTGTTCCATCAGATTGGCACGTCGCAAAGAGGCACCTTTTATTTGTGTTAACGGAGTTCTGGGTGATCAGCATACTACAGTCAGGTAACAGGTGGTGAGGACGAATGCGAGAAATAAAAAAGGGAAGCGTGCCAAGCCAAGTAAGTTGCGCGTTCTTTGTTTCTCACCGGATCATGCACGAGCGCAGCCGTTTACCAGCTTTGTTCATGCGAGACATGTACGCACATATGCTCTCGCCAACCAAAAGAAAATGATTTGCTAAGCGTCGGAGCCTGCGATCTCCAAGCCGGATCTGGTCGACCAGCGCCAACTCGTCGTCCTGGCCCGGGAGGTGGTCCAGGCCAGAGGGTTACTGAAGTAAGGGACCCTCTCACATTCACTCACTGGCCTCCTAATGAACGTTCTTTTATTTATCTTTCAAAAAAGGAACTTGTCATTGTAAAGGTGTTTTCTCTAATATTATGCTCGCTATCATGAGGAGACGATGCTGCTGCTTACGATCTGCTCCGAAGTAAAAAAAAAAAAAACGCTGTGTAACGTCTACATTGTCTTTCTTTTTCTTATCCTTTTGAATTCAAAGTTTCAGGGCAACTTGGCTGGGCAGGGACAATACATATCAAAATTGCGAAGCTCAGCACTGACGGAAATAGTTGATTGATATGTGAGATTTAACGCCCCGAATCCACCTTCTGAAATGACAGATGCAGTAGTGGAAGGCTCCGGAAATTTAGATCACTCGGGGTTCTTTAACTTGCACCGAATTCTGAGCCCACAGACCTACAGTATTTTCACCTTCATCAAAAATGCAGACGCCGCAGCCGGGATTTGATCCCGCGACCTGCGGGTCAGCAGCCGAGTACCTTAGTCCCTAGACCAGCGCGGCAGGGCTTGACCGAAATAGTCATAAAGTTTAAAAGAATTTCAGCCCCCATACGGGAGCACTGTAGAAAATCAAGTTGTATTCAGCCTCGTGAACAGCGCTCCTGTATATGGAATCTGAAACGATATTTAATGAAAGGACTGCTTTCGTCGGACTTTCGCAATTTTTGGACCTGCTTTATTTTTACTTTTTTTGCGGGCAAACCGATAGGCGCAGTAGTATTTTTAAGCTTCGACCCTACAGTGTAAAGCGTGGTACCTAAAATGTTTTTGTGGGTCATAGCATATTAAATATTTTTTTCTGTCATTCCATAAGCTCCATGTCAGTTGCAGAAATGCACCATATTCGCGATATGATTAATAACACTCGCACACACACGAAAAAAAGACTACTCGAGGAGTCAGTAGATCAAGCAGTGTCGAGGTCCTAGCACAGTTGTTTGAGGAAGCAGCGTCGTATGTTTTTATAATTCCGGCAGCTCTTTCAGCCATCTAACTTAGAAATGATCTCAACATTGCGCCTGAATGTAAGCACTACTTACGTACGCGAGATGAAGCTCTCGACATTTGAACAGACGTCTGAAAAATGGTTTTTGAAGACGTTGCATCCCGAATTGTCAAGGCGGTATACTTACAAGAGATAGTTACGGGATAACAATAGCAGCAAGAGCAGCGACTGTAGAGACATTAGAAAGGGCTTCAGGCAAAGTGAGACGCTCCACAAGACGCTATAGAATAAGATGTTGATGGTGAACACTGTAGTTTGCCAACATGTCTGCAGTTTAGTATTGTATGCATCGCCTCGAGGGTCAGTAAAATATTGCGTTTCCCTATGAAACTACTATGCTACCTTTTTCTGTCAGAAGCAAAACATTCTCCACCGCTTTTGTGGTTATCATAGCCACGGAAAAAATATATCGAGGTGCTGTACACCCCATAAATAGTGCGTGTCTGTGTAGATTCTGGAACGCTTGAATACTTTGAAAAGCAACCAAAATCGCCGCTATTACGATATATAAGAACAGTCATAGCTTGTTATAATAATGTTTTGACAATCGTATTGCACTGGCGTAGTAAGAACGCTTCAACACGCAGCGGACATGTGAGGCGTGCTTCACAGTATGAAATGCGGTTGTCTGGGATGTGCACTCAAGAGGAATGAAGCGTTTGCGTTAACACAGAGGTTCTTCTCCTGTACTACAGACCACCTTTAAACAGACAAGTCGCACACACCACGGAATACTAGAAGAGGTTAAGAAGGGACCGCACAGCACCATGTTGTTACACTGAAAGCAGGTCACAAACAAATTCAGACGGCACTACATGAGAGCGCTTCTTCAGCACGCATCCAGTAGGGCCTCTCTGGCGCATGACAGCATCTGCAAAAAACATGAAGCGAACTGTAAGATGACTGCATGGAGCCCATCTAAGCGACGACAGGGCTTCTAAATGATATAAAAAACTTCACCCAGTAGGTTCATTGTTCTTGAAAATTGTGTTTACACAGCTCGAAAGACAGTACACAAAGCAACACAAAGAGCCCCAGTGTACGTTGTTTGCGCTCGTTTATAGTGCTCTTTGCACTCCACAATTGCCGTTTTTAAGCCTTTATTTGCCCATAAATTAATTTTTAACGTTGTTTTTTTCCCATGTTTCTGATATTCGAGTGAACCAAATAGCAAGCTCGAGTAATTGTTTAGTCTGGTAAGGAGAAATTATTAGATCCTAATATATATACATTACTTCAGGTGTAATTTGACACAGAAGCATGCTGAATCCGGTACCCGAAAATACCTTCATTGTTCAATCAGTGCTTTGCATTATACTGTAAAGAAATGATTCAGACCAGCATCGTGTTGAAGTGGTTTGTTATTTAGCTTAATTCACATCATTGTCTTCTTGCAATAAAATATTAGAGCGAAACGAAATGCCAAGAAGGGCCACAAAAATGCGAAACACACAGGCAGAGAAACATCAAGACAATCTCCAGTTTCAGTTATCTGCAGAAAGACCACACGACAGCCGACTGCAGCGCTTCATGTTGCACTGCTCTGAGAATTTGTTTGAACTCTATCTGCGAGCTATGCAAAGTAAAATTGCATGGTTATATAGGGGCTTCACACATACGTAATAAAAGGGGGCGAACCCAGGTAATGTTACATCTCGGTTGTTTTGTAAGAAGCATTTGCAGAAAACTCCCCGGCCGCGGAAAGAGCGGAAAGAGCTAGTATTGTGAAAGTGCGGTCATAAGAAAAATCTTTCAAAGTGATTTACCTTAGCCGATAGGGATTTCTTAAATCCTCAGTGCTATGAATAATGATAGCCTAAAACTATCTAATGAAAAAAGAGTGGTAGAATTTCCTCAGGAATTTATATTTTTCAAATAATGACATTCGCAAAACACAGTTTGCGGTCACTTTCTATAAGGTCAGTTTATATTTTCGAAATCACCTCGAATGGCGTTCAACTACAGCCACATTACAAGATACTTCTTAGTAAAGCTTCTAATATACATTGATTATATGTGGGGCTTAACGTCCCAAAACCACCATATGATTATGAGAGACGCCGTAGTGGAGGGCTCCAGAAATTTCGACCACCTGGGGTTCTTCAACGTGCACCCAAATCTGAGCACACGAGCCTACAACATTTCCGCCTATATCGGGAATGCAACCACCGCAGCCGGGATTTGATCCCGTGACCTGTGGGTCAGCAGCCGAGTACCTTAGCCGCTAGACCAATCACTATCACATTTATTATTCAGTATCACATTCAGTATCACCATCAGTATCAGTATTCAGTATCACACACGTTCAGTATCAAACTCTTCAAGCTTAATTCAAGCATACCCACAAAAAATTTAAGCGCATTATATTATTAGTAAACACGTACGAAGCTCGAAAACTAAATACATTACCCTCAAATTGTTCCCACTATAATAGTGCATTACCTATCAAGCGTACAAAGATATTTTTCCTATAGTGTACTACATGGGCTGGAACACAGCACGCTATGGGTTTCTACGTGGTGAACACAGACAGCCAAAGTTTTAAACACTATCGCCGCAGTGGGTTGGTATAGCAATAGCATTCGGCTCTTAAACAAAAACTCGGGAGTCTGATGTAAGTTCCCGCAATCACATTAAGATATAAGTACAATGCAATATTGATAGCTCACACGCTACAAAACTCGGATCTACGATGTCTTTCACAGAGCCGTTGCGTTGTCTTGACATGCTCAACAAAACGAAATGGAATGTCGAAAAAAGTGAAATGCCTTCGTTGTCAGATTGAGCACCTGACATATTTGCCCGAATGTTTTGCCAGACAAGTTTTCAAATGCAGAAGAAGCGTTTCTGTTGTGGCAACAGTTTGAGATTGAGGAGTGTTTCTGTAATAGCATTTGGGGATAAAAACTTGAGTGAACAGCTTTCTACAGTTTCCACCGCACATTAGGGAACCGTAATCACGGACTGTTGCGATCACGTGCAGCCAGGTTTAGTGCACATTGATTGCGATAGAGTGTTGATGTTAGGTCAGCGTGTGGTGCGCAGAAACCAGTGCCAGTGTATGACGTCCTCTAGTGAGCCGAAATTATGCGCAACGTATGCAGAACATGATCGGATCATTTTTCTCTCGAGACGGACAGTACACGTAGAAGGTGGCCAAAGCGTTCGAGAACAAACAACAAGCGTACATACGTACATACCAACGAGGGTGATCCGTCGCCAAATCTGCTTGCAGCGGCATCGTCGGGTATGGAAACTGGGGGAAGAGGGGAGTGCGGCCGCATTCAGGACAGCCGGTGCCAGCGGTGGATCTGCTTGGGCGCTGCAGCCATTGCGTCGGTCCAGTGTTGCTGCGCCTGGCCACGGGCGAACATGAACGACCCGAGGACGACGCGCCCCAGGCATCGGTCTGCACGAAGCCGCAAATTGGCGGTGAGTGATGAAGGAAGGTGAGCCTTTTCAAAATTCAGCACATCTGGCGGACTTCACAGGCGGCCCGGATGTTAACACTTGTGGTGAGTGAGAACGCGCCTTGTGAGACTGCGATAAACGTACTAGCCAAGCGGCGTTCGTATATAGTTCATTAAAAACCATGTTGAAGTTCCTTCGGTCACTTAAGTATCAACAGAAATTTCCAGAAGGCCTCGAGCGAAATGTCGCAAAGAATATTTTCCCATGTTGAAAGCAGCCAAACAAAAAATAAAAACAGACAATAAAGGTAGTGTTCGTAGTACACGACTTGATATATTTGTTATAAGGAATGCACGTGGCCACTTCATTGAATCACGAAAAGGTTATGGCACCATCCGCTCTCCCCGAACAATTGTCAAGCGTTGAAAAGAAACGAAATACCGCAGTAGAGTGCATTAACGTCGGCTCTTCATCGAGACCCATTATAAAAATTCTGGAACAGAAAATTCTTGATTTCATAATTTCATTTCACAGTTGAGAACAAGTTTAGCAATAAAATTCTTTATCGTAATTTGCTCCCTTGCGCAACTTGCAGAAGGTCACTGTTGCGAAATTTGATCCTGATTGGGCTGAATCGCGGTCAGCATTGCAGCACGTGAAAGAAGGATGATGCAAAGAAAGATAGATATGAAAAATTTATCAAGTAAAAATGGAGATATATGCAGCTGTTGTCCGGCAATAGAACCTGTTATTTTATGGCGAACAATGAATGTCCACAAGGTATAGCGAATTATGTGAGCGATGCCGAATACGAAGGAAGCCTTTTGTTTTCCCTATAGGTGCGCGCAGATGATGAAAAGCTATTCATGTTTCAAAGTATTAGTGGAATCGTTTCGGTTGTTGATGAGTCACTAAGTTTATAGGACAAGTTTATTGTTGATTGAACATATAGTGACCTTATGCACGCACTGAAGCCTAGATAATGTGCAGGCTTGGGACGCTTAAGACCGTAAATTAGCACCTTATTTCGCTCTTCAGTTCAAAGTCACTAGAGCGAACCTATTCCATTTCTATCATCATTCATTTTGTTCGAGTGCGAGTGAGCCCGGAAAATTATGGAAGGAATGACGATAACATTGTGAGGCAGGGCTATATGCGCATCGTGAAATGGCACTCTTTGTTTGAACGGAAGTCAGAAACGGTAGGTTCATTGTTTGAACGGAAGTCAGACCCAAACTGGAGTTTTTTGTGCAGCGACGTGCCTAGAATGCTTCCGCATATCATTTCGATGGCATAATCAACTGCGAATACAGAACCAACCGCACACTCCCGCGCAAGATACGCACTCGAGCTGATGCATAGCTCGTCACAGTATCTCGTTAAGAAGAGCCTTGTAAGAAGGCTCATGACTTGCACTCTTAAGCGCCGCTAGTTCATAGTTGTAGCACGTCCCGTTCAAGTTTGCAGCCAAATTAGCACTTACCGAGAGGATTATGCAAATTATGTCTGCTTTGGCTGCCAACCACCTTCAAACATATAAAACAGCTGTAAACCGCTAAATCGACAAAACAAAAAACGCAATTGTAAGCGCTATGGTGATAATATGTCATTTGCAATATTTATACGGCGCACACACGGCCTTGATCCAGTCATTGAGGTGTTCTTATTTCAACGGAGGAGTGGACGTTGTTTTTCGTGCCATTCAGATACGTTTCTATGATTAATTGGGACCCTTTCCTGTGATTTTTCCAAAACTAATTGTGAGAATGCCTAAACTTGGCCATTATTAAAGTGGTACGTGATAGAGGCTGCGGGCCCCGTTCGCATCACCATCTCATTCGCTCGCCATGTTGCCAACTCGCCCTGCACGGCAATGTTGCTGCGAGGAAGAAAAACGTATGTGCACGAGAAATTCGCCGTCGCGAATTCTACTACAGGGCGCCTACTGCAGGTGCAGTTGCGAATGAAACCACTATTCCATTATTCATTATTTTGCGAAGTAGTGAAACGACTATTGTCATGGTATAACTGTCAGTTCAAGTGCACGAATAAACAGAAAGGAAGAGAGGATAAGCGCTTTCTCGCAACTGAACTGTTTATTAGAAAGGCAAGAATATATAAAGAGGCAATCAAAAAACAATGCATGCGTGTGCAGGCAAAAAAGTACACCCGTGGCACATTGAGAACATAGGGTAAAAGAAGATTACACGCATGCGTTGTTGTTTTTTGAATGCCTGTTTATATATTCTTGCCTTTCTAATAAACAGTTCAGTTGCGAGAAAGCGCTTGTCCTCTCTTCCTTTCTGTTCATTCGTGCACTTGAACTGACAGTTATACCATGCATATTAAACTAGCCCAACTTTCGATTCTGTTGCAATTCATGACTATTGCACTTCTGAAGATGAAACCTATCGAAATTACAGCTAAAGGTATAGAATGTCTGATAACTAAGCTGAAGCTTTCTAGCTCCGCTGGGGCTGATAATATTAACTCAAAAGTACTAAAAAAACACAATTTCCATTACCAGTAACATTCTGTGCTATATTTTTCAACAATCTTTAGAGTCTGGGCAGATACCTGACGACTGGAAAGTTGCAAACGTTACCCCATTGTTCAAGTCTGGAGACCAACATCTACCCCAAAATTACCGTCCAATCTCACTTACATCCATTTGCTGCAAGCTATTAGAACACATTATCGCTTCGCACATTTACAACCATCTTGAGTCTAACCAGTTCTTTTTCCGCAACCAACATGGGTTTAGCAGTTGTGTCATGCGAGACACAACTGCTAGAATTCACGACTGACCTTCACTCGAACATGAATAATAACCTCCAAATAGACTGCATTTTTCTTGACTTTTCGAAAGCGTTTGACCGTGTGCCCCCCTGCCGCCTAATCTCAAAGCTATCTGCTCTTCAATTAGACTCACTAACCTTATCATGGCTTCGAAATTTTCTTTCTCTCCGGAAACAGTTCACTGTCATCAATAACGATTCGTCGTCAATATGCGATGTAACTTCCGGGGTGCCACAGGGCAGCGTGCTCGCCCCGCTGCTATTTCTTATATTTATAAACGACTTGCCTGATGGCGTCACATCATTCATACGAATATTTGCCGATGACTGCATAATCTACCACCCTATCAAAAATGTTAACGATCATTACGCACTACAGAAAAACCTTGATGTAATTATGAAATGGTGTGAGACGTGACAAATGGTTCTAAACGCATCAAAATGCAAAACCATCTCATTTAGCCGTAAGCATGACCCCTCCATTTTTTCATACCGTATAAATAATGACCCGCTCTCGCATGTTTCCACATACAAATATTTGGGCCTACACTTCACACAAAATCTTTCATGGTCCTCTCACATCACTAACATCGGCGCAAATGCTTCGAGATCACTGGGATACCTACGCCGTAACTTACATTCCTCCCCCGCTAACGTCCGAAAACTAGCTTACGAAACTTTTGTTCGACCTCAACTTGAATTTGCCTCACCAATCTGGTCCCCCCCCCCCCCCCCCCCCCCCCCAAAATTACTTAACCAACATGATCGAGGCAGTTCAAAATAGGGTAGTCCGATTCATTTCTCGTAATTATAATTTCTGCTGCAGCGTAACACAACTTAAAATGGATTATTCACTTCAATTGATATTCACTCGCCGCAACATTTCTCTTTTATGCCTCTTTCATAAATACGTCAATAGCACTAAAATGACCAGACTTCCAATTGAACGACCCTCCTATTTATCAACTAGACTACACAACCGGCTTAGTTTCTCGCGCATGTACGGCAAAACGAACTCTTTTAACGCATCCGCTTTGCCTCGTGCCATCACGTTGTGGAATGATCTTCCCGATAACTTGGTATCTGACACTAACCCTGTTTCTTTCCGCAACAAATTGGTCTTACATTTTGGTTGATAATTTCATGTTCACAGCTTCGTTCTTGTATGTATATGACATTCATAATGCTGTGCAAAAAGTTTTTTTCTAATGCGCTTATTGCCCCCTTATTTTTTGTGCTTTATTTTTGTTTGCTTAGGACGAACTGTTCACACTTCCTGCAAGCGCTTTCATGATTTTCTCAGTGTATTATACCACAATCTGTGCCAATTTAACTTACACGTATTGTACACTTCCTAACTGCTGCGTGCCATGAACTGCATCTTTCTAGTTTTTTGGTAACGATGTATGATGTCAATTTATACTTACTTATTTCTTGTTTATTTGTTACTCATGTCTCGAGCTTACGTTCTGGCACCTTTCGCCCTTTTACTTGTTGTACATGTCTTTGTTAGCCCCCCTTACTCAATGCCCTAACCAAGGGCCTGTAAGGTACCTGTAAATAAATAAAAAAAATATTGTCATACCTGCGACTTTCGGCTGCCGGCCCGAAGGCCGGCAGCCGAAGTTCACACCTCCGCCGCGGTGGTCGCGGTTCGAACCTCCGCCGCGGTGGTCGCGTTTCGTTAGAGGCGAAGTGCGACCACCACTGGAGGTGGAATGGTAGATGCCCGAGCATTTTGCTGTGTTAGTGCACGTTACAGAACACCAGATGATCGAAATTTCCGGATCTCTCCACTAGGACGTCCCCCAGAACCATACCATGGTTTCAGAACGTGAAAACGCAACAATTATAAACTTTGACGCGGAATACATGAGCGCTGAAGAAGCCAGGATAAAATAACAAACTGCCTTACGTTTATTTAGCCGCTTCTAAATATATGACCTACCTTGCGCTAAAAATGTTCTCACGCACAACTTCACTCTTTCGCGCGCGCGCGTGTGTGAGAGTGTGTGTGTTTGAAATAAGGGAGCTCGATATTGGATATCGAAGGCAGTTCAGCAAATAAACAGAACCCTAACGTCCCCTCAGGTATAAAACAAAAAAACCCGGTTGCATAACCGCTCAACAACCATTCGACGGCATTTCCTCGTCATTGAAGGATAAAAATATGCCAACTGAAAACGTTTACCAAGATCAT